ATAGTTTGAACACTATTGCATATATTATATTCTGAGGTTTACCTTATGGCTTATACCGACATGGGTCTTTCAGTACAGCAGATACAACTATAGGTACAAGGGGTGTACATATCATTCGAGGCTATGAATTGGTGTGGTTTTCAAGACGCAAACATCGACGCATGCGCCAACTACAACCCACTCTTGAAACGGAGCATTCGGCATAAATACCGGTGCTCCGTGCTCAGTGTTAAAAACTACCCTGGTCAAGAAGTACCTACACGAAGTGAACAAATCTAACCACCAAATAGAAAACTCTTTTTTACCGTCACCTGACCTGATCTCACCCTAAACAGTACGGACATTCATATGACGACTTTCTCCTGGTAAAATACAAGTACACTACGATGACATAACGAATACACGAAGCTCAAACACCTTCCTAAAGCTGTCAGGACTGAGCACAGATATTTACTTCATGCTTGAGACTCACATATTTCCCGGATAAATGGAAAATGGAAACTATTATCATGATCCCGAAACCAAAGAAAGACCATCAAAAACTGGAAATTCGCCCAACTGTTTCGCTCTTCACCTCAATGTCAAAAGTATTCGAAAAAATCATACTTGAAGAACTTAATTGAGAACCTTCGTAGAAACGCAGCTAGGTAACTTCACACTTAAAGGATATAACAGAAAAAATTCAACAAAGAACTACAATCGTCTTCCTTGACATGGAAAAAGTATTTGAGCGGTCTCCTCCACAAACTCCACCAGCCGAGAACACCAATTTGCTTCATCCGTCTCATCAGATCATTTCTAATCGGCAGAACGTATCGTGTAAAAGTCGGTGATCTGCAGCTATTGACCTCCAAACACATTGAAACTGGTGTCCCACAAGGATCCTGCCTCTCCCCGCTACTGTATGTTTTGTACTAAACGACCACTTATCCACTGCACGTCAAACTGAGGTGGTACTATTCATGGATGACACTTTGTCTTACTCCAAGAACAAAAGCGTAAACTAAGCAAGTGCCCTCCTTCAGAGGCAACTGGATCTAATAATACCACGAATAAAAAAACGGAGACTCAAACTCAACTTATATAAATAGTAGCCTTAGGCACCCTATGGCCTACGACCCCAACAACAAAACTACAAATTATAGGTTCGAAAGGACACTAAACAATAAAAGTACTTGGGTAGAAATTCTTCACAGTGATTTTGTGTCGGGACCGTCTTGTGATTAAAACTGGACAAATGGTGTTCAAACAGTGTTGAAATTGTGTCCACGTAGAATTTTGCACTGCGGTATGTGGTTGTACAGTGTGTCCTGTTAATACAACTAGTCCAATGGTGTTTAAATGTCGAATGGTGTTGAAACTATGTTTTTCTAACTAATTTGATACCATACGAACACTATCTTGTCACTTTCAATAGTGAAATGTGAAGAAAACTCTTAACAGATTGAAAGCCGGGGTGGCGAGGACTAAAGCTAACATGGTAAAATGGGGCTTTAATGGAGAAGATGACACATGCGACTGTGGAGAACGACAGACCGATTAACTCCTTTTGTCACCAAGTGCACCATGAGTCCCCAGCACAATGCACATAAGAAGATTTGATTTTGATAAACACCAATGCACCGGGGGTGGCTGCTATTACTGGTCGCAACACAACATATAGAACGTTACCAAAAAAATTGATTTATTAGAAGAACCAAATTTATTTATTTTTTACTTTTATTTATACTTGTTTATTTTATTATCTAAGTATTTGCCTGCATTTTATCTTTATATATATAATTCTACTGTACGTGTGTTTGTAAGCGACCTCCTCCTAAACGGCTGGATCGATTTTGATGAAATTTTTTGTGTGTGCTTTAGTGGGCCCTAGAATGTTTTAGATTCACAATCGGACCCGGTAGGCCCATTCCGTGGAGGTGCTCAAACGGGAATGTTGAGATTTATGGTGGATATTTTTGTTTATAAATGGTTGCCACAATGCCACGGGTTTTAAAGCTATTATAATAATAAATATTGGTTGCCGTGAAATCGGAAATAATTTATAAACTACGTTAAGGGGTAACCGTTTCTAAGGAGTTCGGTATAGGCAATTTTCTAATTGTGTGCATGCGGGTCGTGTAAATGTGTGCGTAGTAAGTGATTATTAGTGTGAGTGACTGTGTATAAAATAAATAGTGGAGCACACCCGCACGTGCACGCACATGTCATAAACGGAACATTTTACACTATAATTACAAATGTGAATTTTAGTGAACCACTGAAACTTAGTTTCGTATTTCCAATAATATAGCTTAATGAGTGACATTACAGTATGAACACCTAGTATACAAATTGAAGAGAAGGAGTTTATCTAGGCTTGTATAGGAGTCGATTTTCGATATTTTATTTTCAATGTCCAATATTTAACTCTAAAACTTATGATATTTTACTTTTTGAATTTGAATTATTGAGTTTAGTAATTACAAATATTAAAATTTGACTTCTATACAGGCACAGATTAACTTCTCTTCTACAATATTGATAATAGGTGTTTTTACTCTCAAACCACTTAATAAACCATATTATTGGAAATACAAAAGTACATTTTTATAGATTTTTTCAATACTATTCATACCCCTTAATATAACGATTGCCTACCTACCTGATAATATACTACTGCGAATCAGAATTATTATTATTTTTCCTGGCAACGGAAAAGTTAACATACATTTTGCACACCATACACTGAATATTAAATAACGAATCGAACAAAATTTGAGTCATATAGATTTGGTTCATTTAACAGGTAACGAAGTACACGGGATCAGCTAGTTTTATTCTAAATTATTAATATAATCGTTATTGGAATTTTTATAATCGGACACGACAAGAAGAAGAATACTTTCAATAATCATTCCGTATTCATTTTTTAGTGTTGGACTGGTGTCTGGTACCTACCAGTCCTGGACCAATAAATTTAACATCTGACACTAACCGAAACCCAATATAATATCTACCCACGGGTAAAGGCGTCACAATCGACGAGCACCTTCCTTTTAACTCACATGTGAAAAACAATAATTACTAAAAGCAAAACAGGCCCGAGCTGGTCTCTACCCGGTTCTGAAAAACAGCAGCCCTTTACCTGTAACCAATAGTTTGGCTATCTTCGAAATGTACATAAAGCTGATGCTGACTTAGCGCCGACGGCACGGGGGCCAGTCGTCAAGAACTCGACCTATGGTCAAAATCGTGGCCATCCAAAACTTCGCCCTTAGAACAATCACCGGTGCACGCCACATCCAGAAATTCGACTCTCCTCGCACCTGACCACAAACACGACCGCAATAAGAAACAGTACACGCCTACGAATCATTAGCCATGCGAATATGTTCGGTATCGGGTAGGTGCATTAATATTTATACTGGTAACAGACGGAGGACGGACGGACACGACGAGGATATAACTACTCTAGATAATAATATATAGCTATACTTATACGGACAAGGTTTGAGATATAAGCAATTGAAACTTACTACAAATACAGATCGATGACGACAACCATGCGAGTACCTACGTAATCTGATCTTTAGGTTAGTAAAAAAATATGTTCCTAACATTTTATTGATGTATATGAATATAGAATATATATATAGTATATAGGATTTAAATTTTTAACTAGGCAAAATTATATAGCAGTGTCGTTTAATTTCACATAAATTGTCTTAAACAAATTAATACAAGTACTTTTAACCAATAAGTTGTATGCCCTATTTATTTTTACAATACATTAACCAAAATAATTATACAACACTGAAAAAAATATCGATAAACAATTAATGAAATCGTATTTTTCCTTAAATAATAATAATAATAAAATAATAATGATACAAATAATAACTATAATAATAATATAAATAATGATAATAATAATAGTAATAAATTATACGAATTGAAACGATCTGAAACATATACATTTCGATACCTAAGTATAATTATTCACATAATTAATTGTTCAACTCCATTTTTTTTTAAACATTTTAATATTATAATCTTATTTTAAGTTCAACTACTTATATTCGTTCGGATTAAGTCTGCTTAAGTACAATATTATTTACAATCTAGAAATACAATTCCAAGTGATATAGGTACACCGCTTACGCGCCACCCATAGCTGTAACGTTCGCCGATAAGTACAAACACATTCGTCAACATAATAACAATAATCATCGCATTATTATAATAATAATAATTATTATTATTATTATCACTACTATTATTATCATTATTATTCTAATAACGTTGGTAAACAACAGTTGCACATAGTACCTATTATACATACACTATGATCGAGATAGCCAGATAGGTATATAGGTAGGTGTATACCTGTAATTATTAAAACATAATGTTATTGCAATAAAACCTACGAAGGTAAGTACACAACGGCGACGACTAAAAATATCAACAAGTTCGATAAGCTCACTATATACATTCGTAAAAACTAAAAATTCGAGTATAACAGTTATACCTGTCTATTATTATTATTATATCATAGCGAATACACTCCGTACACCAATAATAATAGGGCAGGTATTGTAAAGTAAAATTAAACGATTTCTATATTATAATAATATATATTATGTACAGTCTAAAGTGTAACGGTATAATATTATGATAAGCGCGCATTATTGAAAATCGGCTAAAACAAAAACATAACGTCTTGTATTATAATAATTATGATAATAATAATATTATGCTAATTTTTAAAATAAAAATAAAATTGTGTTTACAAAATAAAATAATGAAAAGTGTTTTATCGTTTCTTTTGGACGCGATTCAAACTTACAATCTATATATATAATATTATACAAAATTGTATGTATAACGTCCGATTTCGTTGTGCCCACATTTTGTGGGGTTTCTCGATAGTTATCATTATATATAATAATATAATGTTATACCCGTCGAATATGTCAGCTCATATCGTCGATTTACAAGGTACGATTATGTCGATCGTTTCACAGGGACGAACAGCTCTCGATCGAATAATTTGTATCGACAGGTGTCTGGATCAGTTGTTTTGAGTTCTCGTTGATGATCGTCTCTTCTCGTTTTTTGTCGATTTTCCGCTGTTTGGCTCGCCTGTTTTGAAACCATATTTTCACCTGTAATATAATGCATTTCAAAATTATACAACCATTTAACTATATATTATCATTGATTATCAATCGGTTATATTATTAATTTTGTCTTATAGGTTACACCAAATTACACGTCATAATAATAGTTATGAAATATTAGCTTTGTTTAGGCGATTTATTTATCGAATAATATAATAATAATTATTAATTAATAATAACAAACATAATTATAAAATTCGCACAGTGCATGTTTCAGTGTAAGTAAATATTATATACTATTATTATTGTATAATAATTATATATTTTTTTTATTTAGGGTTAAGGCTTCAACTACTAGGTCATTTGCCTGTGGTACTGTAGGGGAGGGTACTGTAGATTTGTTTACACGTGTGTGTTTGTTTTGGCAGAATTTTTGATTTGGGCACCCGTAGGTATCTGCCATGCCCGGGTGGGGGATTCCGGCACTTGTGCTCCGGACACCGTGACTTGCCCGAAGAAAAATACCACCCATGGCCGAGGTTTCGAACCAGAGTCATTGTGCTTCGCAACCGACGCCTTAGTCCGCTCGGCCTCTCCGTCCCCCAATTATATATTATAATTGTTTTGATATGCATCTTCTAAATTTAAATTAATTTAATTGTTTTTAATGTATAACAATATGTACCCTATATCTACGAATAGGTATATAAGGTAAATATTTATTTTTATTTTGAATGTATCAAACAAAAAACTCCTTACCCAGAAATATATTTTTTATAATGGTCAAGACGTGTAAATGGAAATATTTTTGAAAATCTCATATGCACACAAAAACTAAAGGAATATGGATTATATACTTGTACAGTTGTACTTGGTTTGTGAATCACTCTATAGCCAGCCAGTATAGTCTATACTTATATAAATAATAAATATTATGCACCTATAACCTATATAAAGTGTGAATGTGTGTGTGTGTGTGTTTCTATTTATATAATATAAATGTTATTATATTTTGGTCAAAATTTAAAAATATGTATTACTTTTATAAATAATATCATATTGTATAACATTAGATTCTTTATATTCGCTGCATGAATTATGATTTTAGAAGAACTCAATTAACGAATAAGTAAAATGTGTTAATAAATAGAGATAAAATTCCTGCAAACAATGTATATAATATATCCACTTCACTTATCTAAACTTTAAGCAATTAGAGCAGTTATCACAGTTGAATACAGTTGAAACCAATTTTAAATGAAATTGTTGTATAAAACAAACTTTTAAATTATATAAGTAGGAACGTTTAGAGTGTAAAGACATTTAAAGATATAATTTACATAATTTTATTTTAAAAAGAAATATTTAATACTTTAATATACTTTAAGTCTACATTTGCAGAGAACGATATTTTTTTCTAGAAATACTAAAGCGTATACCTACCTACAAACCTACTTGTAAGTTGTATTCTGAAAACATTTATTTAAACGTAAATTTAATTTTGAACAGTAATTAATATATTAAAACTTAATGTTATAGATATATATAAACTATTACAAATTGTATATTATTATATTATCACAGTTATACATTCATTCTAAAATTATTAACTGTCACAAGTGGTCAGATATCACATGTCCGTTGTACCTACCTAATGAAAATAACTATTATCCCGCTGCCGCCTACAGTTTAATTTTTCAAAATAAAATATACCACCCCAATTCGTTATTAGCGCGTCATAGGCGTGACTAGACTTCATCGGCAAGGACAGCCTAGCAGCTAATGACCGGTTATACACCCAAAGCCGCGTATTTGTTAAGCCCCCCCTCCACAATGAAATATTTACATAATTTAAAAAAAAGTCTAAATCATCTATTTACAATAATAATCTAAAGCATACACAAATACCTCATATGGTCAAAGATTTCTGGACTATCTAGGTCCTACTATCTTCAACTCCATGAATAATGAAATAAAAAATACAATTTGTGTAACACCAAAGTATGCGAAAAAATTGGTTTCTGATTGGTTATTTACTAACATGGAAAAACTTTAATACATGTATAGGGTCACTAATTATTATGCTATCTAAAAAGTAAGATGATAAATGTAATTTGTAAATGTCTTCTTATGTTTATTTTTACCTAGTTGTAATATTTTATCTTTACGTGTACTTGTTTCTGATAATTATTTCTTATTTTTCAATGTTAAATTTATTTTTATATGATTTATATTGTAATTAATTCTACCACTTTATAACTCTCTTTCTCCAACACAAGCGTAAGCTTACAGGAGAAAGATAAATCAATTTAAGGTTTTATTTAATATGTTATCTTGTTAAATATTATTTTTCTGATTAATAAAAATAAAAAAAATAAAAAATAAAAATCTACAGTAACTTCAGAAATATTATTCATCCACAGGATCGCTTGGATTACCTATGTCCTATACCACCTAGATATAAATCAAAAATAATACCACAATAATATTAATAATACCTATAGATGCGTACTGTACCGTCGTCGTCTGTCTCAAGTCTTTATAGTAGGTTTTTCCGATTTCAGAAGTCGGGAAATCAATCTTTGTAAGTAAATGATAATTATAACGATACCCACAAAAAAATCAAATTAAAAAAAAAAGATATGTTATATTAACCCTCTGACTTAATATTCGGTTGACCGGCACCTTTCAAAAATTGCAGGGGCAGCCCCGGCACCCTATGCTGCCACCGTAGTAGACACACCTATGCAGCGCTTGTAGGCTTAATTATCGATTTTATCTGTTCACAAATATTTATAATAATATGAACTTACTTGTCTTTCGGACAGGCTCAGCATTTTGGACAGCTCGGTTTTCCTTGTGATCGTGATGTATCGGTTAAAGTGAAATTCCTTCTCGAGTTCCAGGCGCTGCAAGTCGGTGTATACGACCCTGTACTTATCTTTGGTGCGTGTTCTACCTGCGCATAGTGAAAAGAAAAATTATTTATTAGGCCTGCCGGTTTAATAAATTGAAGGTTTAACAACTGCTGCGAGCGAGTTTATTAATTAACACAAGAGCTGTTGCTGTGAAATAATAAAGATGATAAATTAGTGGCAATTTCCGCGGCACGGGTGTGCATAAGTACTATGTGACATTTTTATTGTCTATATACAATCGCTTAACGTGCAGGTAACACGGCAAGGTAAACATAGACATCGACGTACAGTTTAATTGATCCATCTTCTGAGATTTTTAATTATTGTTTTATAGATATTTTATTGATCGTCTATAAAAAAAGATTAAAAATAATTGAAATTAATTTATTAAATCGTGATGATTTATTTTCAGACACGACGTGGACACATATATACAAGTACGACTAATCGTAATACGTTTTATCACATCATCGTCGTTGTGGGATACCTAACGTAAAGTTATTTAATTTAATTTATATAAGGTATAATATTATATTTTGTTTTCATTCTAAGAATAATTAATATTAAATAAGTATCATTGGTCACATGCGTATGTGCACCATGACAACTTTATGACGACCAGTACCTAGGTATACGGCAGTAGGTACCCGCTTCTTAAATATCAATACCTACATTACAATATTATAATGGAGTTTTTGAATGAGTATATTATTATGATATACATAATAATCATGTAGGTACATCAACGTATTTATAATATATTTTGCAATAAATATATTTAAAAATGATGGACTTTATTGAGGAATGAACTATTATACTAAGCTTTTAAAAGTCATCAATTACGGAAACAATAAGTTTATTTCTCGAATATTTTGAAATAGAGGCATCTTACGATGGCGACATTATGTTATATATATTGTTAAATTCAATAATAGGTTTGTGTTAATTTTGTTGATGCGATCGCCTTGGACTGTGTAGGTTATTTATATAATTTCACTATACAAGCAATACTCGTACAAGTGTAATAACAATGATTGAGTTTTTTGTTTTATTTAGATAATTGAAAATCCTTTACAAACAAATATATGATCAGTCATCGGTAGATCACGAAGACGGCCAAACTATAAAAATGTTTAGTAATAATATAGGTACATGCCTGTGTATATATATATAATGTATATAAATAGGCATTATTATATCGCGTTAAGTCGTCGTACTTAATCACTACAGCAGCGAACGTTCTATAATATAATATTATGTTCCTACCAGCCTACATATATTATATTATGAATGCCCTAAGTTAAGTACAACACACATTTTGATGATGAAAATTATTCAATACAAAATCAAAAGTTATATGGGTACACATTCCTAGGCAAATACTAGGCATAGTATTATAAGACTTATTGGTGGGTAAATTATAATTGAACAGGTATATAGTTGTTAAGTTGTACAACTGTTGTAGCACAGTGGCATCACGCGATGCATCATTTTTGAGCAATAATATTGTTCCCAAATAACTTTTAACATATAGATTCTAATGTTAATGAAAATTAATTTTAATACTATGTATCGAGTGGCCTAATATGTTATGATTAATTTTAATAATAATAGGAAATATTAACATTTCTACTTCCAAATATGTGTCACGTAAGACATGTTAAACTATGTCTTATGCGACACAAAAATTGACTATGTATATGCGGACATGTGCCACATAAATTGTATTATTAAACAATTTTAAACGCATGTGTTGGCTGGTATATATAGTTTTAATATGTGCCCTTGTAGTTCATAAAGTTCACGACGCCACTGTGTTATAGTCTATAGTACCGATTCATTATTTTTGTACAGGTAAATTATGTATATGACATGCATATATTAAGTGTTAACCTACTTCTATTACCTTTGCCTTTATGCATATATAGATTTGGAAATTATTATTTGCATAAATCGAATACAAAATTCACTCGAATCGGCTGGAACTTGGAGTATTATAGGCAAACTGCATTTTAAACACCTCTATAAACAGAGCGACCCACAGGAAAATAATAAGTCACCCTGTATAGTTTACCTATATAAATTATATACATGTATATGTATAAGCATGTACAGTCATACGTGTGTGTGAGTGTGTTGAGGGTTATTACTGCATATAGTGTATATCTATAGCCTGTAAGTATATAGCTATATATAAATAAGACACGATATAGATTCGCTCGACTTGATGTATATAAATAATATATTATATTGCATTATACCTGTATATTATATAGAGGTAGGTACCTACAGCAATGACGGAACAAATTAAGTAAAAAACGAACACGTAAGCCACACGAAAATACGCGCTCTTCGCTCGGTTATCTCGTTCGGTCTGTTCGTACATGTGTGCGTTGTGGTTTTAACATTTTTTTTTTTTACCTTTTCACACACATAGGTACCTATACACACTCAGTGCTCACACACACACACACACACACACACACACACACACACACAAAATATACACATGTTTGACTTGTTCAACGTTTTCCGTGCGTGCGTGTGTATACCTATATGTATACGACGACAACTGATAGGATAAGGTTTTTGTAATTCCAAAACGTTATCTCGGGCCGCTCGAGGTTTTTTCAAATAAGCCGCCAAGCCACTCGAGATAATCCACAGACATACATCACACACACACTGCAGCAACGGCGACGACAATAACGACGACGAGCAGAGAGACGATTAATAATAATATTTAAGCGTATATACATCGGGTACATAATATTGGTTTGCCCACATGATGGGTAGATTATGTCTATTATATATTATATGCAGCGATCGCCAGAACCACGGTGTAGGTTCTAAAGTGTACGCCGCTAAATTACCGCGTAGGTGATACCTAGGTATTACATAATAATATGTCCTACAAATACCTAAACGTAATAATTATTATTTATTATACTCCGAGTAATCTATATAGGTATTACGATGAATCATACTATACAACTATAGACACCTTTATATGTATATACCTATAGGTAAACACTGGTCGGAAACCATAGAGTTTCCCGAGGAAATTTCGTGAGGGCGACTGCTGCATGTGGGCATGACTGCGGTTAATGGTGGTTATATAGGTAAGTACGGTCGACGGTACCTATCGTTGCCAAATCGTTTCGAATTCTTCCCGCGTACCTACAGGGTAGGTACCTATGTCCATATTGTAATAATATTGTTGTGATACGCGTGCTGCGCATGTGCGTCTGTGCATATAAAATGTGTATTCGATATTATAATATAGGTACATAATATAATGGGCTTATATACGACGGGTATGATATTATATTACCATAAAGCATATACAATGGGTCGCCGCGGTTTTCTTTCATGCCTTCTCGCGTTAACGATTGTCCGACAAACCGCTGTGGTGTGCGGGACGAGAGAACGCCATTGGCCAGGTAACAATATGGCAGCCGATGCTCGCGACTCTGTGTGAACAGGTGGTGAACCGCGCGCGCGTACAGTGCGTACGCGACCATAACACACACAACAAATACCTATAATAATTATTGTATAATAATAGGTGTATGTAATATACACGCCACAACTACTATATATACCACACATATACCTACGTGTCCAATATAAGCGCATATATAATATACAGGGTGTAACAGAAAGAACTGAGTAACTGACCAAAAAAAATTGACGCTACTAAAACGTATGAAAAATATTGATAAACAATTATATGATCAGTAAATAGCTTAAGAAATATCCCAGTGTTAGCAAATTTCCAAATGTAACATTTTTAAAAAAGTTATTGACTTCCAAAGTAATTTAATCAAAAAAGATTGATATTTAAAAAAATTCTAAAAAATAAACTACTTGACTTAGATAAATGTTTTTATCATCCTGCAAATCGTTATTATAATCAGATTCACAAGTAGGTTGTTTTGAAAAAAATTTTAATCAAATTTAAAATTGTTCATTTTCAGTATTAAAAAATTTAAAAATATTGATTAGAACAAAAGTTATTCCAAAAGTCAGTTCTATCTGTTACACCCTGTATGCACATAAATCATATAATATACATGTAGGTATATATGAGATGCAAGTACGCTTTATGCATAAATTAAATATTATTATATGTCTATATATAACACTCGTGTCGTATATATTTGTATTTATCGAAAATATATTATAATACATATAGGTATCGTGTGCGTGTGGTAAACAATATAGGCAGTTCGAGCTCACCACAACACCTCGATATGTTTAGTTTTTACTATACTACAATATATATATTATATTATTTAGTTTGACGCGCTCGTTAATATTTAATTTATGCGCGCGCATAATTTATCGCGAAGAAAGCCATAAAATATAGATTTATACATGTTATACGCGAGACGATTAATATGTGTGTGTATCCCATATACATACACACTAGTTCACGTCCTCCTAATCTAGCTCGAAAATCCCCTCTCCACCACCATCACCACCACCTTGTATACGAGTTGGTTCGGGGCCTCGATAAACTACCTTCGCCGCGGTTACCGCATAATTTTATATAATATCACATCGAGCGATGCGCCGCCGGCGGTGGGATTTGTTTGTTGTTGTTGTTTTTTTTTTTTACTTTTTTAATAAACGCTCTATTGTTTCAACGCGCAGCTGTCACGTCGAAAAAGTCGTCCGAAACAGAGCTACAGACACATAATATATATATACTAAACTACAACTGTTGTGCGCGCGGGGAACATTATTATAGCGGCCGACGAGTACACATAATATTATTATTATTATTATTATAACGACTCTCGGGGGATCGGTTTGTTCGGTCGATCTACACCGCCACTGCACCGCATTTTGCGGGACAACGTCGACGACACGACAACGACGACTAAAACGACTGCAACATCGTTCGCGACAATCAACGGCCCAAATTGCGGTGGTGGTGGCGCAGACGTCCGTCCGGAGGACGATAAATCAAATCCGAGTACGACTCCGAAGCATACGTATTATATATATATATATATATATAGAGAGAGAGAGA